TGCTGATCGATGTCATTAGGTTGAAATCATATCGTTTGACATTATTATTATTATTATTGTGCTACATTATCTTATTGGCTGTTTCATTAAACCTGGTTCCCGAAGTTGAGCCGTTCGCAGCTGTTTCTACCGTGTTTCAGGGTTTCTAGTGGATTGCAGGAGGCTTTACATAACGCAATGCAAGTGAAATTTACTTTCATGCAAGTTTCCAGCAGCTATGGTGGAGCTGCTTGAATGTTTCAGCGTCTAAAGCCAGACTAAGTCGTGACGGCGTGAGCGAAGTGTTTCTGCAGCTTGTCAGTCGTGTGTCTCTAGCAGGGCTTCAGATCTGAGACTCCGAAAGCTGAGCATGCAGCTGGAGTCGGATCCAAAGGCCTCACTCTCAGTCCCATTCCATCTGGCCTGATTCCTTATCCCCTCAAACTGCAGTCTTACTGTGCTCACTTACTCATTTTAAATCTTATCTGTCTTAAAACATATTATTGTTTATGTTTATTATGTTTACTTTGACAGAGACCACACAAAATGCATTCATCTCAAAAGAGAAGACGTGCTTTGCACCAGGTTTAACTAAATAGGTGATTTATATCCAGTCCTGGGCAGGTAAACATATGAGTAATATTAAAAAGACATTATATAATACAAAATTACGAGAACAAAATATAATAAAACCCACAATACTAACTCACATTCCAGACTTTATCTCCCCCAAACAACCTTTCAGTTAATAATACAAATTATTCAGTATTTACTATGGATTATGGAGTATCTGCTATGAATGATTCAGTGACTACAATGACTTATACGGTATCTAGTATGAATTATTCAGTAATGACTATAGGCTATTCAACATCTACTATTAATTATTCAACATCTACTATGAATTATTCAGCAACTAATATGAATTATTCAGTAACTACTATGAACAATTCAGTATGTACTATGATTAATCCAGTATGTGCTATGAATCATTCAGTATCTATGAATGATTCATTATCTACTATGAGTCATTCAGTATCTATGAATGATTCATTATCTACTATGAGTCATTCAGTATCTACTGCGAATCATTCAGTATCTGCTGTGAATTACTCGGTAACTACTATGAATTATTCAGTATCATCTAAAGATTGAGGGCATCTGGAGAAATCCCTGTGCATAAAGGAAAAGGCTGAGAACCACAACTGAGTGCCCCTGACCTTTGACCCCTCAGATTGCATTAAAAACTGACATGTTTCTTTGATGGAGATCACCACATGGGCTCGGGAACACTTTAATAAACACAGTCCATTGCAGATGCAGGTTAAGACTGTACTCTGCACAGTGGAAGTCACATAGCAACAATGTCCAGAAACACCGCCGACTTCTTTGGGCTCGGGCTCATCAGAACTGGACTGACGCTTAGTGGAAACGTGTATTGTGTTCGAGTCAACCATTCAGATTGTTTAGGGAAATAATGGCCGTTGTGTTCTCTGGGCCATCCAGATTGTTACTGGCATAAAGTTCTAAATCCAGCATCTGTCGTGATGTTGGGGGAGGTATTAGTGGGTAACCTGCACATCTGTGAAAGCACCATTAACACCTGAACACATTTTGGAGCAACATATGCTGCCTTTTAGATGCCGTCTTTTTCAGGGATTTCTATGTTTATTTCAACATGACTCACCAAGAAACATCCTGCTCAGGTTACAGCAGCATGGCGGCGTAAACAGAGAGTCAAGGTGCTAAACTGACCTACCTGCAGTCCAGAACTAAAATCACATTGTAAACGTGCCGAATACAACAGTGATGGCCCTGTATGGTTGCGCAGCTGAAGACTCGTTTAACAGAAGAGTAGCAAAGAGTTTAGTTTTCAAAACAGGGTCAGTTTTCAGTCCCCAAACGGTTATGAAGTGCTGAAGGAAAGGTGATGTAACACAGGGGTAAACGTGCTCCTGTCTAACTTTTCTGGAAGGTGTTGCAGCGGCAAATTTGTAACGAGCATGTATTTACAAAAAAACTGAAGTTCATAAGGCACAACGTTGTGTATTGTGTTTTTGTACTGCTTTCAGAACAGAATTTGATCACTGCTTTCTGTTTTTATTAAGAGTTTCACACACCGTCCAACGTTTTTGTAATCGTGGTTCTTTGGATTGTTCAGATATGTACTTCATCAGTTTAATAGCTGAACCTGTTTCAGTATAATTTGTTTAGACTTTGATAACTTGCTATAATTTTAGCACTGTGGAGCTTTTTCAACACATTCAGCCAGTTAACACTGAAAATTTGTGCTGGTGATGATTTCCAAATCAGCTGTTACACCCTAACAGTGCTACCTTTCACACACATACAAAATAGAAATAATTTGAAATGAATAACCGACTCTAAATGTAGGTATTGTGATATAAACTGAGTCTGTTCTACAGTTTCTCATTAGGCTGAATGAATAACTGACTCTAAATGTAGGTATTGTGATATAAACTGAGTCTGTTCTACAGTTTCTCATTAGGCTGAATGAATAACTGACTCTAAATGTAGGTATTGTGATATAAACTGAGTCTGTTCTACAGTTTCTCATTAGGCTGAATGAATAACTGACTCTAAATGTAGGTATTGTGATATAAACCGAGTCTGTTCTACAGTTTCTCATTAGGCTGAATGAATAACTGACTCTAAATGTAGGTATTGTGATATAAACTGAGTCTGTTCTACAGTTTCTCATTAGGCTGAATGAATAACTGACTCTAAATGTAGGTATTGTGATATAAACCGAGTCTGTTCTACAGTTTCTCATTAGGCTGAATGAATAACCGACTCTAAATGTAGGTATTGTGATATAAACCGAGTCTGTTCTACAGTTTCTCATTAGGCTGAATGAATAACTGACTCTAAATGTAGGTATTGTGATATAAACTGAGTCTGTTCTACAGTTTCTCATTAGGCTGAATGAATAACCGACTCTAAATGTAGGTATTGTGATATAAACCGAGTCTGTTCTACAGTTTCTCATTAGGCTGAATGAATAACCGACTCTAAATGTAGGTATTATGAATAACTCTATCCAGAAGGCCACAAGAGATGGAGAGTAAGACGATATTCAAGCGCATAGTTATGTTTTATAGATCTTGAACACAATACACTTCAGTCAGTAGGCCCTGAATATTGAGAGTGAACATTTTTAGCTCACAGGTCTGAGACTGCAGTCCTTCGATCTCCTTTTCTCGCCGTGTAGTGATTGATAATGTTTTTATCTCCCATCTTTAATAAGTCCATGTGCACGTACCCACTTTGCTACTTTAAATGTCAAAATGAAAGAGAATTTGTAATGGCTCTGTTCTTTTCACTGTCCTGTACTTTAGAAAAGAAAGAACGTCCATGAGATTCAAATCTCCAGTCGTGAAATTGGATGACAGCTGCTTAGAAAGGAAAAAAATATTCAAAGGCTCTGCATCGTGAGTCAGGTCCTTCACCGCTGTCTTTTACTCATCCTGGATATTCAAAAGGAAAGGAATGGTCATTTGTGTGTGTGTATGTGTATACACCGATCAGGCATATCATTATGACCACCTCCTTGTTTCTACACTCACCCATTTTATCTGCTCCACTTACTATATAGGTGCACTTTGTAGTTCTACAGTTACAGACTGTAGTCCATCTGTTTCTCTGCATGGTGGTGGTGTGTTAGTGTGTGTTGCGCTGGTACGAGTGGATCAGACACAGCAGTGCTGCTGGAGTTAAACACTGTGTCCACTCACTGTCCACTCTATTAGACACTCCTACCTTGTCAGTCCACCTTGTAGATGTAAAGTCAGAGACGATAGCTCATCTGCTGCTGCACAGTTTGTGTTGGTCATCCTCTAGTCCTTCATCAGTGGTCACAGGACGCTGCCCACAGGACGCTGTTGGCTGGATATTGTTGGTTGGTGGACTATTCTCAGTCCAGCAGTGACACTGAGGTGTTTAAAAACTCCAGCAGCACTGCTGTGCCTGATCCACTCAGACCAGCGCAACACACACAAACAAGTCATAATGATGGATTTTTGACCTGGAGGCTGAAGCTCATTTTACTTTAATGAAATTCTAATTATTTGGATACTGTAAAACATACCTGAGCTCTAAAATGTTTATCAAAACAGCTTTTACTGCAAAGATCTGCCTGAAAACTGTACACATACTATAAATGAATATAGTAAACTACACTGTAAAAACAGGTCATCAGATTAAACTAGAATAATGACCTCATGTGGTAACAAGCAATAGAACCACTTTTGTTCAACTCAAAAGTGACACTGATGGAAAGAATCATTCAGAGTATTTATTTAGCTGAATAAAGCTAATTAATTTTTTAGATTGATCTGATGAGCCATTTTTACAGTGTGTAGAGAAACTTTTCAAAGGAGAAATTTAACCAAATAGCAAATATTTGCAAATTTGTAGCAAATATTACTTAGAACTATTAATTTTTTTTTCCTGAACTTGAAAATTCTTGTAATGCTTTATTTTCGAATTAACAGTTTGCTTAAGTTAAAATACATGTGTGGGTTTCATTTGAAATGAGATATTTTGAAAAATGTGAGGCTGTCGCATTCTCAGTTTTTTTTGTAAATATAAACTTTTCCAGTTTTCAGTGTAGAAACTGATGCACACAGTCTGCATTAAAAAGTTTACAGCTGCATCAAAAGAGAACAAGAAATTTCTCTTATCAAGCTCAACACTAATAGCAAAAGGAAATTTTAGGAAACAAACTGCACTTTTCTGAGTAAATTAACTTCAGTTATCTCTACAATCTAATTTTAACTTAAGTAAACTGTTAATTTATGTTAGATTTCAAGTATTTCGGGATCAGAAGTTAGTTTGAGTAAAAATTTCAGACTGATTAAAAATAAATTTGCTAAAACTTAATAGTAATATAAACTGTTATTGTTTGCAGTGTATCAGTAATATTTTGATTTCCTTTTCCTGTTCAGCTCCAACACACAGGAGTTCAGTACTCATCTTTATGGTCGTTCTCTCTGTTTCAGGTCTGGCTAAGCCGATGGGTCTGGTGGAGGGTCCGGGTGGGCTCGGTCAGGGCGGAGCAGCTGCCACTCTGGGGGAGGACAGTCGGGAGGCCGAGGGGAAATACGAGGAATACGGCTACAACGCCCAGCTCAGTGACCGCATCTCACTGGACAGGAACATTCCGGACTACAGGCCCAAAAAGTAAGTCCTGCTGTTTTTCACACTGCAGAAAAAACACACTCTGTCCTTGAACGAGAATAGAGCGCATTCATCCTGCAGAGCAGCAGCGGCAGCGCTACGGTAGACCTGCACCCACAGCGGCCTGCAGACGCATCATCAGACGCATCATCAGACGCGTTATCAGGCGCATCATCAGATGCATCATACATCCACTCCATTATCTGATCATCTTATTATTCAGCTCTGACTAGAAATGATTTAATATCTGTTATAAATTGTTCAATAAATGCTATAATTGATTTAATATTTACTTTAATTTATTCAGTAACTGCTGTAACTGATTTAATATCTGTTATAAATTAGTCAGTAACTGCTATAAATGATTAAATTTCTACTATAAATTATTTAGTAGCTATTTTAAATGATTACATATCTACCATAAATGATTCAGTAGCTACTATAACTGATTTAATATCTGCTATAAATTAGTCAGTAACTGCTATAAATGATTAAGTATCTACTATAATTTATTCAGTAACTGCTATAACTGATTTAATATCTGCTATAATGTTAAGAAGAGCCATTTTGTCTGTCTAATAAAAAGCCACAAGAATTTATGTCCATTTTACCATCTTGGCTGTAAATGTGTCTCAGTCTGTGCTGATGCTGGTATAGGATAAAAAATATAATATAAATAAAAACTCAGACTCACTTTACTCTGCTTTAATCTTTAGCTCAGCTACAGCTGCTTTTCTCACATCTCCAGCAGGAAACTTTTCCTCAAAAGTAGAACAGTTTCTTGTAAAATGTCTCTCAACGTTCGACTTTTTACGAGGCTGAAGTCGCTTCTCATTCGCCAGCTTCTTGTTTGAATTTTCCTGTTCCACCTTGAACAGAGCCTGAGGTTCCAGAATGTAACTGCTGCACCATTTAAGGTGGAACAGGAGAATTTGAGCTGGCGAATGAGAAACTGACTTCAGCATCACAAGTTATTATCGATGTTCATCTTAAATCTCTCTCTTTGCCGTTTCGTTAGCTACTAGCTAGGCGAGACTGTGGTCTGTGTTGCTATGGTGACCAGCAGTCTGCGCTGATCTTCAGGGTTAAAGAGTGAATTAGCAGTTCTACATTAACTCCAGAGTTTAAGACCATTTATTGTTAAACTGTGTTGAACGATCAGCAGAGCTTTATTTTACTGTAAAGGAGGATTATTTTATTTTTACCTACAAATCTAATTCAGCTTTGGAGCAACAGGGCAGTAAAAGAGCCTCATGCAGCTCCGGAGACACATGTTGCCGACCGCTGGCGTAGATGATCCATACTGTACCCGAGTATGTTTGAGCCTCAAAGTCCAGCTTGTTTGACCAGTGTGATCGCTCTGTACCGTGCTGCCACTTGAAGAGATGAGCTCGGATGTGGTTCAGTTGGACTCGGGCACAGTACGCATCTAGCGTGACCGCTAACTGCCCAAGCATGGAACTAGAACATGACGTCAGTGATGCGACTGTCTCAGTTTTTAGTTCATTTGAGGATGTTTGAGTTGATAATGGAGCTGCTTCTCACCTTATTGAAGAGTACGAGTTGTAGTCGGCGAGTAAAGCTGCAAATTCTTCCTTCAACATCAGCTGCAGCACGATTAACAGAAAATCACGGCGTTGCTTAATCGATAAATCTCTAAGGCGTGTGAGGGGGCGTGTCTCAGCACCCAAAACGGCTCCAAATAAGCCACAAACTAAGTACAGTCATGAACTACGCTGTGCTGTGCGAACTCAACACAAGAAGTCACATCATGAGGACGATGGTGTGCGTTCATGCTCAGGCACAGTTCAAGGTAGCCAGGCACAGTCCGAGTACACTCTAAAGGCCTCAGCGTAGTTCTTGCGGAGACGATGTTCGCCTGGCTTCAGTGAACAACATGATTTAATTGTGGAGAAAACGAACAACTGCAGATGTCGGCGGAGACTTAGTTTGCCGTGACGCCGCATGGCAGCTGGGCGAACTCCACGGAACTCCTCCACAATGCTTCACTGTGGGTATGGTGTTCTTTTGGTGATGCGCAGTGTTGGCTTGGCACTAAACATACTTCTTGGAATTATGGCCAAAAAATTCAACCTTGGTCTCATCAGACCGTAACACGTTTTCCCACATACTTTTGGCAGACTTGATGTGGGTTTTGGCGAAAACATAGCCGGGCTTGGATGGCTGGGCTTTGTTAGAAAAGGCTTCCGTCTTGCCACCCGACCCCACAGCCCAGACTTCTGAAGAATACGGGAGATTGTCGTCACATGCACTACACAACCAGTACTCGCCAGAAATTCCTGCAGCTCCTTTCATGTTCCTGTAGGCCTCTCGGCAGCCGCCCGGACCAATTTTCTTCCGGTCTTTTCATCCATTTTTGAGGGACGTCCAGTTCTTGGTAATGTCATTGTTGTGCCAAATTGACTCCACTTCTTGGTGACCGTCTTCACTGTGTTCCATGGTGTATCTAATGCCTTTGAAATTTTTTTTGTACCCTTCTCCTGACTGATACTTTTCAACAATCAGATCCCTTTGATGTGTAAGAAGCTCTTTACGGACCGTGGCTTTGGCTGGAAAATGCAGCTAAGAAAATGTCAGAAAATCCTACTAGACCAGCTGAACTTCATATGGGGTTAATCTGAACCACTTTAAATGATAGCAGCTGTGTACTGACTGCTATTTAACATGAGTTTAAATGTGATTGGCCAATTGTGAACACAACCACATCCCCAATTATAAGAGGGTGTTCACACTTATGCAACCACATTATTTTAGTTTTGTTATTTTTATTTTCCCCCTCTAAATGATTTCAGTTTGTTTTTCAATGGAATTGTACAGATTATGGGTCAAATGAAGGTGGAAATTAATCTGAAATGATTCATCTTGGGTGTGTAGACTTTTTATATCCACTGTAAGTCTATTATTCGGTAGTACTAACTAGCACTAAGCACCAAAACATACGTTATCTTGTATTTCGGTTCACAAGAGGATGAGGCTGAAGTCGGCTCCCTATTCGCCCGCTTCATGTTCGAATTTTCCCGTTCCACCTTAAATGGTGGCAGTATTCTGGACTCACACAGCGCCATAGTTAAAACTGTAATATAGTGGCTTTTCAGTAGTGATTGAACTTAAAATGTCATAGCGTCACCTAGTGGAGTATCTGTAACAGGAAAAACGACACCGCAGAAAGTATGCGGGCTTGTAAGGCACTTTTGGCTTCGCACAACCCTCGAGAATTTCATTTCGCAAGAAGTACTTTGAGGCCTTAAGAGGTTAAAGCTGGTTTATATACTCTTTATTCTGTAATTTCAGCTTTAGCGGGGTTACAGTAAGAGTCCCCAGCCCTGTTAATGTGATTCAAGCTGTGTTGTTCATAAGGAAAAAGAATATAAATGAATGGTGTGATGGTAAAATCCCTTTCCTCCACTTTTACACTGTTTCACACATGAGGATCTCTGAGTCGGTAGGTCAGAGTGCAGCAAGAACGATGGAGAGAACACAGAGAACGAGGAGGAGCTGCTTTGACTTCTCAGATCATGTTGATACATGGAAGACGTTAATAATTCAATAAAAGTCCAGATTTTTTTCTTTTTACTCTCGGAAAATGGCAGAGAAACCGTGCTGGAATATTAATGGTCATCCATAATGGGTTTTATATTTAGAAAGTGGGGCTGTACGTTGTGTGGAGGAGGATTGTCGACGCAGAGCTCTCACTGCTGTGAAAGAACAGACGGGTAAGAGGAAAAGTGTGAGTTCAGCCGAGAGCGGAGTGAGTTTCTTGGAATAGTTAATGCTGACCTTTCCTTTCAGAAGAAACCTCGCTGACTGAAGCTGTTGATTATTCTCAGAAACATGTCTGAATGGTCAGTACACGCTCGTCTTTTCAGTGAGCCGCTTCACATTTCCTTTCACTGTCCACCTCCTTAATCCACTCACAGGCCACTTTATTAGAAACACTCACCTTGTGCTTCCATTAACTGGCCACTTTATTGGAAACACACACCTTGTGCTTCCACTCACTGGTCATTAAATTAAAAGCCCACAAAGTTTAATCAATCTCTGGAAATGTTTATAGTTTTTGCAGACATTACTGACGTTTATTGTTCCTTTTGCAAACATAATTAATCTTATTTTAAGATGAAAAACACCAGTAAATCTGAATTTAAGGGTTTAAATAACTAAGTAATATGAGGAAGAAAAAGAAGAATGCTTTTTATAGTCATTAAATATTGTTGTAATATTTAAGAATCACACTACGTGCATCTTTCTATATATTGTTTACATATGTTGGTTTTTAAGTCAAAACTAATATTCAGTTTAAGTTTAGGTTTTGGTTTGAGTTTATAGTTTACGGTGACTCATTTAGATATTTAGTTGAATGTTAGTTAAGTGTAAAATGAGCTTCTGCGCCACTATGAATTATTCAGCATCTGCTATGAATAATTCAGCATCTACTATGAATAATTCAGCATCTACTATGAATTATTCAACATCTACTATATATAATTCAACATCTACTATGAATAATTCAGCATCTACTATGAATAATTCAACATCTACTATGAATAATTCAACATCTACTATGAATAATTCAGCATCTACTATGAATTATTCAACATCTACTATGAATAATTCAACATCTACTATGAATAATTCAGCATCTACTATGAATTATTCAACATCTACTATGAATAATTCAGCATCTACTATGAATAATTCAACATCTACTATGAATAATTCAGCATCTACTATGAATTATTCAACATCTACTATGAATAATTCAGCATCTACTATGAATAATTCAGCATCTACTATGAATAATTCAACATCTACTATGAATAATTCAACATCTACTATGAATTATTCAACATCTATAATTAAAAATTCAGCATCTACTATGAATAATTCAGCATCTATGAATTATTCAACATCTACTATGAATAATTCAGCATCTACTATGAATTATTCAACATCTACTATGAATAATTCAGCATCTACTATGA